TTTTTTAAAAGCTCTTTGGAAAAGTTTGATAGAAACAACAAAATTCGAAAAACCTTCTCAATTTTGCTAAAAACGTTTCTTGTGAGTTGGGTTTTGGCTTTTCTTGACGTTAGTCTGCCAAAGGGGAAATGGAAACACATTTGACAAATAAGTTTTGATGTAGCGAACATTTACATCCATAAGAATTGCATTTCTTCCTTTACATCTATGAACAACAGGTAATACTGCAAAATCTAGTTGACACATCAGATCTAGATGTTCTATAGCGATACATTGCTGAAAACGTCCATCCATTATAAATGTGTGGTCCATACAGGTTTGGTTTGGAAAATTAGAGGTTGCAAAGTAGAAAAGGTTTGTGTGGCTGCCGCACATTTTCACTCCAGGGAAAAAGCGTGCATATATTTACACAAACTTTGACGCAAAATTAATTTTTATACATGCCGACTTGTGCATAAAATATGGCGCCGCAGATTTTCCTCAACTCCAGTTTCACAAACTTCATAGCAATCCTTGCAAGCATTGTTCAATCAACACCAGAGTCACTCTGCTTTAGATGCTCTTTTACATGTAAAGTGTCTAGAACTGCTGTGCTAACCACGGCTCAAAACTCTTCTTGAAAAATCTGAAGCATGCCTCTAGATTTCAAAAGCAAAAATAAAACTTAAGCTAATAGTTTTCTTTTAGTTTTCCAAATCTTGAGGTGAATAAAAACTGAAGTTACCAGATGGTTGAAGTTGTTAAACAGGCTTATTTTTAGTGGCAGTTGGTTTTATCCCCTTCCATCTCTCTTCATCCCTGTGGAGCAGAGTTGTGATCTTGCACTTTGGAGTGGAGGATCACAGCTGACCGCTGATCCTCACAACCTTCATGTCCTGTGATTTGCTCTGAGGACGTGCACAGTCCTTATCAAAGCGCCCCGCCTGCTGATTATCTCTCTCTCTCTTTAAAAGACCAAAGCTTTGAGCAGTCTGTTGGATGAGACTTTTCCACAGGGGCGAGGATGGCAGAGTGCTGCATCAAGAAAAAAAGACGAAAAAAACCCGTCAAAGTTTCAACACTGAACGGGATACACAGAATTAATTATGCACAACACAGCATCCCAACATGCTAATTTATCACTCTGTACCTTGTAGTGTTTTACTAACTGCTGTTGGAGCAAAATTTGATTCACTATAGAATGTATTTTGTTGTAGGCAGTAACTATGCTGCTTTTTGGGGGAAAAACTGCAATAAAAGACGATTAAGTGCAGAGTCAAGCTTTATAGAAACTTGCTCACTGCTGCATTTCAAATTTTGCCATGAGAGAGAAAATGTAAATATATAATGCCACACATAGTATGTTCATGCTTCAGCATTTATCCAGGTATATCAGACATGTTGAAGAATTGGTTTTTGTGTCTGAGTGGCCGAATCTGGGGCCTGTTAGACTTTAGTGGCTCAGAATCAAAAATTTTAAGCATCTCACAGAAAAAGCCATTGTTAAACAAAATCCATAAGAAGACACTGAGGTGCTCTGGTCAGATAACATAGGAGGATCACTTGTACTACACAGAGCCCAGAAAGCATCAACCCTGTGGTGAAACCTGGGAGTTGCAACCTCATGTTGTATGAATGCTTTCCTGTTGCAGAGAAAATATTATTTATTTTCCCATTTCAGGAAAATTGAGGGGCAGCAAGTTAAAGGTAAATGAAGTATTCAGATTCAAAGTAGAGAGTAAAAGAAAAGAAACTGAGCAGCAAATGTACAACATGATAAAAAATATTACTGTTAATGGCTTACCTTGTTTTGAAGGAAATGTGCAACTGAGTAGGAAAATCTTAAAAATGTATGAGATGTGCATCTTTGTGCGAAGAAAGCAGCAGCACGCTACAAAAACTACAAATATCAGTAAACCTTAATGAGTTTGTTGGGACAGTGATGGTTCTAGAGTCTACCGGCTGCAGGAGGAAGGACCTGAGATGACGCTCCTTTGTGCACACAGGATGCAGCAGTCTGTCGCTGAAGAAGCTCTCCAGCTCACATTGTCCAACTGCTCCAAACTGAGCTAAATTCAGGACAAACATGAAAAAGATTCTTAAGACCCAAGTTTGTCAAAAAAGTATTCACATCGGGGTTTAAAACAATGCTGGCCACTATTTCTAGATTTATGTTTTCCATGTAATCACAGTTTAAAACTTTGGCTCTTGGTCTTCTAGCTCATAAAATACCAGTAAAATACACTGAATAAATTGTGCTTTTATAGTGAGAAGATGTGAAAAGGTTTAGTGGTGTGAATAATTTATCACGGCTTTTCATGTCTTGAGATTTAAAAAGACAAATTTTCTTTAAAACAAACAAAAAAAAACTTCGGTTTGGCCTCTGTTAAAAGGCGGTTCTGTAACGTGTTGCTGCTGTCTGGGCATTATTAAAACATGTCAAACTTTTAATGTTTCATTGTGACCAGAATCCACAGTTTAGATACCAAAGACCGCAAAAGTTACGTTTCCATCATAAAATAGCACCTATAAAATTATAAAGTCATTACATTTAAATCGTTTTTTATTGGTTTGAAATATTTTTCTCTAAACTGTCCAGTTTAACAACTGTTTGAAGTCATTAAGACAGAAACGGCCCCCAGCAGTGTCTTTGTTTAAGGAATTGACTGCAGCATCAGTGTTTATGGTTATGAGGGTGTTATTGTTATGGCGCTGTCAGTGAGTGCTGCAGGGATTGGTTTCTAGTATGTAACACTCAGATAAACTGCTTTATATTTGTTAACAGTTAATTTGATCTACTCCCAAACATAAAAATCCTGTTATTTTGCTTATTACAAGACATTTTGAGTGCAGAATAATACTTTACTTTGCTTTGTTTTTGTTTTTGTTCTACCCATAAACCCAGAAAGACAAACTTTGCTGATTTTATTTTTGAAGACATCTGGAGGAAACAGTGCTGACGCCTATTGAAGTGGGCCTGTTTCAGAATTTGCACTTTATTTCAGTAGAATATTTTTTTTTGGGAAAAACACTAAAAATCATACTTTTTACTTTACTGCATTTCTATACAGGTTTTTGTCACTTGTTTTTTCTGTTGGTCCTGTTTGTGCAGTTTGCATCTGTTTTATTCCACTAACACTGTAAAATTGAACACTACTAAATATGGTTGGTGGAAGAATAATATTTTTTGTCCTGATGTTTCTTTATGCATGTGGGCTGAGATCCGGGCGGTGTGATTCTCTACCAGACCACCCTTGACCTGTGCTTCTAGCAGCAAACTTAATTACAGCCTACAAAAGTGATTTAGACTTTCAGCACTATAAACGGATCTTTGTTCACAGGTGCCAAACTCAAGGCCCGGGTACCAAATCCGGCCCGCCATAACTATTTATGTGACCCTCTAGATTCTAGAGACAAACATAAATTTAACTTTAAGATAACAGTTGTGTGCTTAAATAATGAGTTGATTTATTTGAATTGGACCAAATGACATCAATGTGAAAAGAAGTACTAATGGAACCCAGTCAAATTTGATCAATTAGCAGGTGTTTCCTTTTGGTAGATTCTTCCACAACTGGCCCCTTGAGGACATTCATGATCTTGATTTGGACCAAAGTGAAATCGTGTTTGACTCTCAGTTAGATCCTGATTAGGCCTCCTGCTCATTTGTTTTGTTCCAAAGTGTTTCTAGCTTGTTGTAACGAATGCCATTTTCAATTCAGCTAGCTCAAATATTACAAATAACTTAAAATCCCGATTGAGTAGATGCTGTCATTGTGTTTCTGTTTCCTTAGATATATCAGCACCTCAATGACTTCATTATCTCACTTTAACTAAAGGTAAAATGCAGAAATGAGCAGTTCTAAATGTCAACCGGTGTAATTCTGGGGATTTATATGCTTACAGTTCAGTTCAGATTATTTTGACACCTCATAATAAGTTGCATATTATTTTTTTGCCTTCTTATCCATAGCTTCATTTCCCTTGGGAATAAAAAAGTACTTTTGAAGTGCACTGAATTATAAAATAGCAGAATATTTTGAAGATGGTTATATATAAGAGGCTGTGATCTCCATGAAAAAAAAAGTATATCTTTTTATTCTCCTTTGTTTCACCTGATATGTTTGAACATGAGACTCATATTGACCTCCTGCAGAGAAGGTGGTGATATATTCCTCCTGACTACCAGTAGTTCATTTTTGTCCTCTGTAGAGGACATTTCTAAATTTGAATATCTCCCATCCCCTGAATTCTACTGAATTAATTCCTTTTGGTATCTGGAGAGGACATTTAGGGCTTTTCAATGATACCACATGTGAAGGGGTGGGACTTTTGTATGTACCTTTTTCTAATTCATAAAAATGGCGTTTATCAGTAATAACACATTTTATGGGAAGAGACAAAGTAAGTGCATAAAACCTTTTATTACCTTACAAAGAATGTGGGATTTAAAAAAATGGTGATTGGACAATATTTTTTTTCCTGGTAGTCAGGAGGATGTACTTCCTATGCTGTCAGTGATCGCTGTCGGGTTAAACTTATATGTTGTATTAAAAAAAACTGTTGACTGTTGGCAAGCAGCAGTCAATGAAGTCTGATGGAAAAGTGAGGACTGAGAATTATTCTGCTAAGTGTGAAAGATGTTGCCAAAGGGTTGAACTTTCACTCTACAACAGACTGCATTTATTTCTGTTGGACACGTCTGATAATCTGTCTGGCTTCGTATCGAAAGCGAAATGTGTCTGTTTTGCTTTAAGATTCCTCTTAAAAATCTGACGTAGCATTGATCATACCAGTGGTTCTCAGGTCTTTGCCCTGCATGTGTCTGCTGCAGCACACCTCATTCAAATGGTTGCTTTACCTCCTCAGCATGTTGCCAATGCTGCAGACGCCTGGCAGCCTCCTGTTCGTTCAGATCAGGTGTGGCAGCAGGGACACATCTGAACCTGCAGAGCACTGGGTCGACTGATTTAAACTCTTCAAAAACGTCATTTTAATGCAGAAATTTCTTTTCTCTGCAGGTCATCCTTATTCTTACCAAACTCTATGACTTTCACATCGGCAGCGTCACTGAGAGCACTCTCTGGAGGTGAGTCCTCAACACTTCTTTTACTTGTTGAATGCTGTCAACATCCATAAGCAACAGATTTTAAACTAAGGATTGCAAAACCATCCTGTTGATGCACTCAGTGTTGCAGGACTTCAGTCGTAATCTGGGCCAAATATCCATATCTGCTCTTTGCTCATTCATCTTCAGCTGTGATTCTGTTCTCACCTTCCCAGTCCATTGTGGGGAAACCGTGTTCTGGTGTCATCCGCCTCCAGGCGGTGCACTTGGGTGTAGGAAGCTGTTTTCCATGTGCTTGTTCTGGGATATTATCTGATGTACTCGTCTTCTTCCCCCCTGCAGGAGAGAAAATAAACACACACACACAAACACACACAGTTTGTGAAACAAAGAGAGTGCTTGTAAAAGAGGAAAAACAGACGATCAGAAGGAGGGATAACACATCCCTGATGAATAGAAGCTGCATCTAACCCATTTTCAGATCTGTATTGTGTAACACAAACAGTAATTTGCTTGTTTCTCTTTGGGAAGCCTGTAAACACATGACAGTGTTGGCATGGCCGCGAGAAATGTAGAGCAAAAACCCTAAAAAGACAGAAATCGATTAATGTTATCAGAAAAATCATAGAATGAATATATTTTTATAACTCTGTCAGAATGAAGTCAAGCCTTGTGACTTGTGAACATAACCTTTATGTTGGCATGCCTGAAACGGAGAGAAATGTTACTGTGAAGCACCATAACAATCAGCGTACAGATGAAAATGCCAGAGGGGAGTACTTTAAAAATGATTTTAAATTGCACAAAACGGGGAAATTATGAAGAGATTTGCCACACAGGAATAAAAAATAAACTCAAGGACAATTATATCAATCTCAGATAAGGTTTGCCATTTTAAGACGAAAAACAATTTCCCTTCAATGCATCTTTTAGTCTTTGAGAAGTTTTTAATGGCAGCTTTTTAAAGTGTAGAAACAGTTTCACCTCTAAGATTTGCGTTCTATGCCCAGTTTGTAGGGCTGCCTTCACAAAGAAAAGTGCTTCCAAAGTAACCGCTGGCTATTTTTGACATTTAAATACCGTCTGTGCAACAGTTATGATCCTCAGGCGAAAACAGAGTTTTGTTTTAGTGTTTGAGGAGCTACAAAGTAGGCTGAGTTTCTTTTTAGTCTGAGAAATAGAAGACGGACTGTTCTGCTGTCGACAAATTATTCTAAAATATTCTGGATAACGATATGGCTGTTTCATCAGAACACTCTTCTGTCTGCATTTCTAAAACGACTGCATACATGTCGGGAATATGAAATATATCCTTTCAAAGCTCGACTTCCATCTGTTTATCCTTTTTTCTCATGACGAAACCGCAAAACCTTTTTCATACAGAAGATCCCATATTTTGTGCAGCAGCTGAAGTCTCTCCACTTTGATGAACCTTGTAGTCCCTGTTGCATAGTCTCAACACAGGCATGTCCCCCATCAGAACCACCACAGATGGCGGAGAGGGAACATAATGTAGCCTGCGGGAGAATTAAACCCACCACAATGTCAATTTGATGGATCTGGGATAAATTTCTTTCAGAGGAATGTTGGATTAACCGGAACATGACATTCATTGGGATTCAGTGTTGCCGGGCTTCATACAGTCATTTGTCTCCTGATGCATTTTAGCATCTGTTTGTCATGCTGGTAAACAGAAGCAGACAAGTGGTCAACATCAATCCAGGAGGTCGTTCAAAGTAAACGTCGTTGTAGTTTTGAGTAAAAATGAACTACTTTAACATATCTGTAAGTGTTTCATGTCCATCATCCTGAAGATTTGAGCACATTTAACAATAAATGGTTCCTTTGTGATACTCGGATCATACATTGATATTTAATGAATCCATCACAACCAGGTAGATTACTGACCAACATTAAAACTGCCACTTTCAAATGTTTTGACCAAAGTGACTCGACTGAAAGAACGTTGCTCTTTGCTCTTAACAAAGAACCCTGTTCCTTTAAAAACTGTTGCCAAGTTATCAACAAAGATATTGATATTGAGTTTGGATTTTTAGCATCGTCACAGCCTGACTGACGTTCACCCTAATAGATCAGCAGAATCAACGGATCATCTGTTCTGTTTAACTGCAGGAAGGTAAACAAACTGAAGTCTTACAAAGTTCTGTCAGATTTAAATTCACCATGACAGCTGAACTCTTTGGGGAAGATGCAATCAGGTGAAGAGACTAATCCATAGTGTGAGAGGAGGGACCATCACTGCTGTTGAAGATCATTATTATTGGCAGCCCTCCCAGCACTGTCACTCGGCCACAAACCTACAGTGATCAGGGAGCAGCTGTCCATCCAGGCTTGACTTGGCAGCGTCTGAAGAGACTTGTAAAATCCTCAGTAATATTTTTTTCATGATAAGTTTGAGTCTGTTTTATTGAAAGAAAAAGAATCGGTTTGAGGAATGAGGCTTCTAACGGAGATCACAGCTGCGATAGTCTGAAGAGGAGCGTTTGAGTTGAATGTTTATCACTTCAACAGGAATACATCCCAAATGGCACGTCCAATGCTGCCTGCTCGCAAAGGTCAGTGCTGTGGCAACACCTCAAAGTATTTACCAGTCCATCTGTCGGATTTAATGAACATCCTGACCTTAAACAATGAAAGCTGATCAGTCAGACGCTGCATAATTTCCAAAGTATTCACACTGTTGAAGCGTTGGAGAAGCAGGCGGATTTATAGTCTGTGCCAACTATAAATCAACTCTGCAAAACAGTTTGTCTTCAAAGTTGTTCAGCCTCTCTCATCTGGCCTCTAGAGTATTGTCTCTGCGTGAGGAAAACATTTATTAAAGATGACAAGTCAAAAACTCATTTGCAGGTATTCAGACGCAGTGCAAATTAATGCCAACAACAAAGTCGAGATGTATCCCCCCCCCTCCTTCACTACTGGATTTTGACACATCCAATACTTGTTCTTTATGCAAAACAAGTCAATGCGGCAGTTGTTTCCTTTGCTTTATGTTATGTTTACTGAAGTTTTTTTTCCTTCTTGTTTTACTGAACAGCTGATGTGGAAAGTTTGTGGGTGAACTGAGGTTTATGTTTTCTTGTGCTTAAGGGAAAGTTGAACAAATGGATGGGAAAAACAAACTGGATTTGGATCAAATGTACATTAAATCAGGAACACATCCCAAATTAAACACCTACATAAAAGAAAATAACATTTTAATGTAGATCCTAATCTATCTGCACAAAACCAAACCACCTATAGGACAAATAAATCAATTTTATTTACAGTTACGACCACATTATTAGCTCCCAGTACTGAATTGTAACCTTTTTTTGAATTTGAACCTTTTGCCTTCAGAACTGCCTGAAATCTTAACCTGGACTGAACAAAGTGTCAGAAACATTCCTAAGAGGTTTGGTTCATACTGACATGATGGCATAACGGAGGTGCTGCAGATTTGTTGGCTGTGCTCTGCTGGACTGAAGTGAAATCAATGTCATGTTCAAGGAAAACATGACATTTTTCTAGAAACTTATGAATTGCATTGTTGCACATGCAACAAACTTGGAGCATGCAGGCCTGGTTCTTCACTGCAGTGCTCCAGGCAGCATAGAGACCCAAAGAAAAAAACTGACATTTTACGACTATGCTATTGACTAGTTTTGTTTCTGCCAATCAGAACTTGTTGGTGAACAGAAAAGAGAGTCTTTCAAACATGACAGTTTAGTTCTGTGCTAAAATCTGGATTTTCTTGCTGCCAACAGTGCTTGAAAATGTAAGGCTGCTTTTCAGTCCTGGTTTCAAAACTGTTTCTGCCATCAGATCTTTACTGAGATTCAAGTTCCCTGGATCTCTGATATTTGTGGAGGTTAGGAATCGCTACCAAACTAAGGAATACTTGATATTTCCTAGAAAATCTCTTTCAACTGACAATTTGTATAGTTCAAGTAACAAATATACCTTAATATTCATTAAAACACACACTGAAAGCTGTCCTAGTACAGCCGCAGAAGCTTCTGCCTGCAGTCTTCCCTACCGCTGGTCTTGGGAACAACCAATCACCAAGGAAAACTCAGGATGCTTTGGGAATAGCCAGTAGTGTGTCAAGTTGTATTTGCTTGTCGGTTCTTTAGCTTGACTTTCTTTCAGATATTTTAGATATGAACCAGAGGAATTCTGAACTGCTTTTTGTGCCTTCAACAATTTAAAGCTAATTGAATAAAAAGGAAACTCCTCCCACTCATTTGTTGTTGAGCCTAATTAACACCCTAATTACAGTTTTAATGATATATAGCAGTGAAGTATTCATGGTGTGAATAACTGCCTAGAATTAGGCTTATTAAAATGGTCAGTGATTATAACACTTACCATTGACTGGGGAGATTAACTTGTGAACATGAACCTTGGTTTAGTGTTCATCTGACCTGTTGTTCCTCTCACTCTGGTTTTAGGGGAGTTGGTTCTGGTACAGAAAAACAATACAAGTAATAATGATGGTTAGAGAGTTTTAAAGGTCAGTAAAAATGTTCAGTTGTTTTCTGTTTGTGATTTTTAAAGCTTTGGTTTGAAGCTTTTAATAGCAGCAAATATTTCAAGACTGACAAAAACACAAAGCTTTTTGTTTCGGGGTTTCCGTCCCTGAAACTCAGGGAACTGATGGAGAAATAGACTGGAAAGTTGGTAGCTGTGTTGTATGTGTGCGTGTTTCTGTAAGTGTGTGTATCCCAGCTGCGGACAGACTCCTCTCCTGCTGTGGTGAGATCGGGTCACCAGGGGGTGAACAGTGACATCCTCTCAAATTGCATCATTTTGCTGAGCATGCTCACAGCCGATGTGATATTTCACAGGTCAGTGCTTATAATAAGGGCCTGGTTCTCTCAGAGAGGACCCACCTGATGTCTGCGACCTTTTGCAATTGGACTTGGTATTTTCCTCCATACCTCACCAGCCTTCTGCACACCAGAACTTTTCAAAAGAAAGAGAAAAAAAAAGAGCGATACAGCTACATTTCATTTCTG